TTCTAAGAGGGCTGTCATCAAACTGTCAAATTTTTATTTTAAGGTTAATTTACCTAACCCAAAAATTTAAATTTTACAGTTTTATGACAGCCCTGAAAGAATAAGGTTTATTTTTTACAAAAGAGGAGTAAAATGGTTGTTCTTAGCACTTTAAGGCTTACAAGTGCCTCTGTAAGAAACAACGTTTGAAACGATTTTTAATTTTTATAAACAGAGCACAAACCCAAAGCACAAGAATTGTAAACAACAAAAATGGCCGCCGTTAAACTCTGTGCAGGGTAGCAGTAGATAAGTCTTTCATCTATGAGATAAATTTAAAAAATGATAAAACAAGTTTCCAAAATTAAAAAATAAAGTTTAATAGTTTGATTTAAAGCTTAAAGATGGCGCTTTAAAATGCATGTGGCAAGGAAGTTATTAAAATTAGAATTGCATTTATAATCAGAGGCCGAGAATTAATATGCAACCTGATAGAAATATTTCATTAAAATTAAAATCTTTACAGAAAACATCGACAGTATTTTTATAGGCATAGTGAAAAACCATGTTGCAGAGGATGGCAGATAGCATATAGAAAGTGCATTAGGACTACTTTTCTTATTGCTGCATCCCACTTAAATGCGTTATTAGCAACATTTAATTTGTAATTACATGTGTAACTGTAAATTTAGTTGTGGATTCGACACCTAATATTAATAATCATAGAATATTATTGTCACGTAAATCGTGAAAAATTTCTTTGTGCCGTTTGGAATCGATTATAAATTTATTTGTACGTGACCAACAATTGTTTTCAAGGAATTCGTTTGAACAAAAACTGTTTTTGTTTAACTGATAACATTTAAAATGATTTGATATAAAATTACCTACTTTTGGATTTATGCTACCATGCCTGGTTATTTACGTTATATAATAAGTACCTATATATATTAAATCATTGTTTAGTTGTGCATTAATATAAATACATAATTGTTTTTAATCTAAAAAAAACAATATATAAATCTATGTAAGTTTTACCTAAACACGACCATTTTGAAGCGTTCTCAAAACCCAAATCTTTATGGTATGTAAGCTAAACATCTTTCTAAAGGCATCGTAGGTAAAAGGACCACACAAACGAAGATATGTATACACTTTATCTCTTTCTATTACATTAAGATAACGTAGTAACTCCGCATGAACTTCTTTATTTTCTGACTTCCTCTTTAAATATAAATAGTTTTAAACAGCTTCCCACATGGAGTATAATTATTTGGTAAAATCATTGGAAGATTTTATCTGGGTTGGTCTTAATTAAAAATTGTAAAAATACGACAGCATTACACGCTTTGTTATTTTATGGAATACCGCATTTTCTTTTTATAATTAAAAATTACATAAACCATAAAATTTCTAAACTAAATTAATTAGGTACTTCAGTCACTAAAACATAGTTATATTCTGAGTAACACGATAAAAATTAGTCACTGTTTACTTCTAGTAATAATAATATTAAAGCCCAGAGATAACGCAACAGTGCTGCCAGATGAACGGATTTATCCGTTTTTTACGGATTTTCCAGGTCTAGAGAAATTGGAAACGGATTTTGAACGGATTTTCATCAAATACGGATTTTTACGGATTTTTAAGATAGCTTCATACTAATACTAAAAAAACATCATTTTTGCCCCGTTTTTTGATCATCTTTGTCACGCTTCTATTCCTCTTCCTTTTTACTACGTTAGACAGAAAAAGAAAGCGGATTGAAAAAGGATGTGTTCTTAATATAGGGTTCTTAAACGCCGAATATATGCGAAACATATGCTTTTTCATTGAGTGTGACAAAGAGAACGATAGTTTCATATCATTTGTTAAGGTTTTATAACACGTTGTTATTGCTGCCAATATATAAGCGGCGCAATGCCACCAATAGTAACGACTAACCAATACTGACTCCAGTTCAGTGCATTGAACTGCATTGTGGCAATATTTTGAACTCAAAGTCAATGTTTATTTTATATCCGAATCTGTATATAAAATACTTTATTTTGTGAAAAATGGAAAGTGACGAGAATTATATCACTGACGCAGAGGTTCAAACTTCTGAAACTCCCCCGAAAAATTCTGAGATGTTTCGGATTTTCTTTGACGAAAGGTATGTTTTGTCACGACTATTTCCCTCGTCTTAATTTCCACCAATCACAAACACGCAATTTTGAATTACAAATGGTTTCTAGGTGACTATTTCCCTCGTCTTAATTTCCACCAATCACAAACGCGCAATTTTGAATTACAAATGGTTTCTAGGTAAAAAAACTGTGTGACAGCACCTGTCAGCAGTTTATTCGAGTTTACCCGCGGCAAAACTTGACAGCTGTTGTCACCAAAAATTGCAATTTATTTTAATTGTTAACTGTTACTCATGAAATAGTCTTGTCAAATACCATTCGGGCATCTAATTTTTCCTGTGAAAAAAATCGAAAAAACACAATGCTAAGTAATATTTTTTAACAAAATGCATTCGTGCAGGTGCAAAAATCCTCCTCTTCGACTCGGATTTTTGTTGCCACCAGCACTCATGCTTTTTGTTAAAATATTACTTAGCAACGTGTTTTTTCGATTCTTTTCGGAAAAATTAAATGCCCTTATGATATTACTTACGAAAAAACTGTGTGACAGCACCTGTCAGCAGTTTATTCGAGTTTACCCGCGGCAAAACTTGACAGCTGCTGTCACCAAAAATTGCAATTTATAATTTAATTGTTAATTGTTACTCATGAAATAGTCTTGTCAAATACCATTCGGGCATCTAATTTTTCCTGTAAAAAAAATCGAAAAAACACAATGCTAAGTAATATTTTTTAACAAAATACATTCGTGCAGGTGCAAAAATCCTCCTCTTCGACTCGGATTTTTGTTGCCACCAGCACTCATGCTTTTTGTTAAAATATTACTTAGCAACGTGTTTTTTCGATTCTTTTCGGAAAAATTAAATGCCCTTATGATATTACTTACGAAAATCCCCCTTATAGAAGAAATTCTTCGAAATTTAGACAAAAACGGATTTTTACGGATTTTTCGAGGCTTCCCCCCACCCTTTCCACGAATATATACGGATTATCCGACCATCTGCTCTGGCAGCACTGTAACGCAAATAAACAATATTCTGTATAAATAAACTTAAATATCTTTGTATCAAAAACTTCTTAATTAGTTTATTTTACTTCCATTTCTTTTATTAACATTGGCTGGTGGGTGGAATTTTATACTTCGCCCACGGGCTGAAATTAGCTTTAAGTTAAGTTTGAAAAAAGTAAGGTTAAAAACAATTGACAGCTGTCAGATCTCAGATAAAATATTAAATTAAATTGGCTTTAAGTCGCTTTACATTTTTTGTGGCTGTTGAATAAAATATTGTGTGCGACTTTTGGTCGCTACGCTCGTGGGGCAAACCGTCAAATTTTATAAACTGTATTTTTTGCCAATCACATTTGTGAGGTATTTTGTGAGAATATTTCAATTTTGAGTAAAATGTGAGGAAAATCAGGTATATTTTTTATTGGAATACAGTTAATTAATTAAATGGAATATTTTTTATATTTGTGGAGAAAACATGCAAAAACCGATAAATCCACTTTTACATTTTAAGTAAAAACCGAAACAGAGACAAACTAAAAGTAGCAACTTCCCTTTTTAATAGTGTTTGAATATTTGGGGGATTCTGCTGTACACATTTTTAAGCAATATATCACAATCAGTTAAAGTAAATACCTTTGGAACTTTGACGTTTGGCAACATTACAATAGCAGAAAGTGTCGCCAATAAGAGGATATTTATCGGATTTAACGACTTTTGTATACAGGGTGTCCCAGAAGTCGCGTACCACCTTAAAGGTATAGGAAATATGGACCCGAAGGAATCCCAGAATATGTTTTAAAAAATCTACCTTTGTTATTTAAAAAGATACAGGGTGTGCATATTTTTTAAATGGAAACATTGCGTACAAATAAAGTGGTAGTTTAATTCATAATCCTTTTGGCAACAGACAACAATATTAAGAATTGTCAAATTCAATACTTTTATAAGAGGTTTAAATAATATTTATTTTACGTTAGACTTGACAGAAGCAAATACAGGGAGTCTCGGTCAGAAACTAATAAAACCATAGATTAAATCTATGAAGAAAAACTAAACAAATATTAACATTACATTACATTACAATTTGCATTGTATCAATGTGATTTTTTTGTAATAAAGGTAAATTCACACAAAATGTCCCACAATTTTTTAAAAGAAATAGGCAGCCCTAACATTGCACAGGCTTGCATTTTTGAGCATTCTCCAAACATAACATACATATGATATGTATGTTATGTTTGGAGAATGTAACATATCACAATACTCAGTGATTACCTACTACTCTAAAGAAACACATATCAATATGCTATGAGAGAATGCACATCATTTTTCATATCTTTTTTTTATTTTCCAGGATTCCTGCAGATCATCCACCTTGACAATTAAATCTAGCTTTTCAAATTCTTTAATGGAAAAACTGTCAAATGTAACTGTAGGACAGTTATATGTAGCTTTATTAACTTAAGATGCCATTCTTAAGACAGTTATATTTAAGCGACCCAAGTTGTCATTCTAAGGACAATTAACTATATAAACTTAGCTTAAGTTGAAATTTTTAAGTTAAGAATACCATTGTTTTAGAGGCCTCTAAAAACAATGTTTATACCTATTTAAGTGGACATTCTTAAGACCCTTGTTTAATTCATTGTTTCCACAAATGTAGAAGACAATTAATTGCTTAATAATTATTAGTTTTGATGATAGATTTGGTATTTTATTATATTAGAAACTTAAATTAATTGATTATGTTATTGTAATCATTTATGGAACACTGGGCATCCAAGGAGTATAGCTCATTACACAAATTATGCTATAGTTTCTTTTTTTTCTATATGCAATCCACATAATTGCATTATTACATTACAAAACAAAAACAAATGTACTTACGGTTCTGCTTCAATACTCTTCAACTTGGCAACATAGTTCGAAGGAATATAACCCTCAACTCTACTCCTCTTGCTCCTGGCCAACCACCAGTCCCCTTGTGTGTCATTTAAAATCTCCAAGTGTTCTCCTTTTCTAAAACTAAGGTCCTCATCAGTCCTGGCATCATAGTCATACAAAGCAACAAATATCCTGGAATTTGGCTGATCTGGCTCAGTGTTAACCTGCGTGGGTCGCGGTATTTCACTGGTAGAAGTCGGAATGGGGTTAGGAACAGGGATATTGTCCTCTATAGGCCCTATGCCAGTGCCCCTTGTAGTAATATCCACCCTCTCGTTATTAGAGGGCCTGCTAAAACAACTGCCCATCTTTGATTGTTTATCTATCGCACTATCACGTTAACAAACGAACATCGTGCACCAAACAAAACACATTACACAAATTTCATTTGTTCCCGATGAATGTAAATAAAAGTGCATCCCAACCCGATAGCCTCGATTCACCACACTGAAAGCAGCAGCGAAAGGCGTATGCTATCGGAACTTTCGCTTACGACAATGCTACCAACCGAAACTAATCTAATTTAATTTATCAAATTAAACGCTAAAATTACAAAAATACTCCTCTTAATAAACATATTAGATTATTTTTATGAAAATATAAAGTAACTTTAAACTTTTAATGTATATAAAGCTAGTAATATCAAAAATATCAAAAGCTCAGTTTTGGTTACATATTCTTTTTGACATTTCCCCAACGTTTTTCTTACAGTTGGCGAGTCTGGCTGTGACTTTTAATTTTATTGTCATTGTGAAGTGCATTTCTTGTTTTGTATTAATTTAAGTGAACCGTTTAATATTTTCTATTTAATAATAATACCCGGTAAACACAAAATATCCTTTAATTTAACACACAATGCCGCAATACAAAGGTAAGCCGTTTGCGGCCAATCCTAACCTAACTTAAAACCGCTATTTCTAATTTCTTTGTCATTTTTCGTAATTTTGTTGCAGTTAAAGTAAAGTGGGGCAAGGAAACTTACCCAGACATCGAAGTCAATACAGATGAGCCGCCTATGTTGTTTAAAGCTCAGCTTTTTGCTTTAACGGGGGTAACCCCAGCTAGGCAAAAAGTTATGCTGAAAGGGGTGACTTTAAAGGAGAGTGATTGGGACAATTTTAAACTTAAAGATGTATGTTTTATATATATTTTGTGGTTTGTGTTAATTGTTGTTTTCAGGGAATTATGATACTTTTAATGGGCAGTAAAGAGGAAGATGTGCCAAAAGAGCCTGTCGAAAAGACTGTTTTTGTGGAAGATATGAATGAGAGTGAATTGGCAACTGCGGTAGGTTTGGTTTTAAAAATACCAATTTTTTTTATTTAGTTAAAATAAACATTTTTTACAAGTAATATTTTTTTGTATTCTAGTTAGATTTACCAGCTGGCCTAACAAATTTAGGGAACACTTGTTATATGAATGCCACTGTTCAGTGTTTAAAAACAGTGCCTGAATTGAGGGATGCTTTACAAAGTTATAAAGCAGGTATATTAAAGAAAAAGTTAAAAAGTTAATTAAATTTTAATATTATATAATATTTTAGATGTAACAGGGGCAGCTGGAATAATTCCAGCTCAATCCATTACTGCAGCCCTTCGTGATTTATATACTAGCATGGATAAAGGTGAGTAGTTTAGTATATCTAGAAATATGCCTTGAAAATGTATGGGCATACACATTTTATTTCACAAATTTACTAGGGGTTGTATGAAGATAAAGTCTCATATTTATTGCACCCCCCAAAAGTATTTTTTCATAATATATTATTAATATATTATTAATATAATATTAAATATTGTGGTATAGCCTATACCACAATATTTACGGTTATTTTAAAAAAGGTTGGAATAATCAAGAGCTGAGGTTGAAGTTGAGGTTTTTAAAGTAATTCACTTTTTCTTTACCATGTTTAATATTATATACAAAGGAGTCTAATTCTTGATCCACCTGTCACTAAAAAATTTTTTCATCCAATTATATAGGTACAGGGTGATCCCCTATAATGTCGCCCCCCTTTAACTTTTTTATTTTAAGTGTCCCAAAAAATTTAAAAAAGTGGTTATGTAGGAACTAAAAAATACTTTTTTTCTACATATAAAGAAAATTGGAAAACTGATCAGTATACAGGGAAAAACAAAAAGTGTATTTTTTTCAATGGATCACCCTATATTTGAATTTATTTTTCGATTCCTTGTAAAATTCAGAGCATAATTTATATACAAACCATATACCTAAACTCAACCGTTTCTGAAATATTCGCATTCGAAATGTCATCATTAAATGTTTTTTTAAACTGTTAAAAATCAAGAAGCCTCAGTATACCAAAATTTTTATTGAAAATAAATTACTATAGTGACATTATGTCAATAAGTGTTGTTAAATAAGTAAAAATGGCGTACTCAGACATAGAAAGACAAACTATTTCAACTTATTATCTTAAAATTAATTTAAATATTTCAGAAACGGTTGAATTTAGGTATATGGTATGATATATGAAATATGCTTAGAATTTTACAAGGAATCGAAAAATAAATTCATATATAGGGTGATCCATTGAAAAAAAAATAAACTTTTTGTTTTTCCCTGTATACTGATCAATTTTACAATTTTCTTTATATGTAGAAAAAAAGTATTTTTTAGTTCCTACATAACCACACTTTTAAATTTTTTGGGACACTTAAAATAAAAAAGTTAAAGGGGGGCGACATTATAGGGGATCACCCTGTACATTAAGTCAAATTAAGTTAAATAAAAAATGTTTTATTGTACCTTCTTTTTGGAATAATTTCGTCATAATTTTACTATGTAACTACAAATTTTTAGTTTATAACACCCCCACTGAAAGATATTACAAATTCCTTGAAAACTTCCAAGAAGATTTTCTCTTTACCAATTTATTGAAATTCCCAAAACTCAGGGATATATAGCATTTTTTGATGAGCCAATCAGATCAAGCCATTTCTATTGTTTTGAAAAAATCAACCATGTCAACCTCAGCTGCCTTGAAATGCTTGATACTTGGCTTGTTTGATAAATATTTTTATTTATTAGAGACCAGATTATATTTATATTCATTATTGCATTTTCTGCTTTTGTCTATTTTTACAGGTTTTAGGTTATTAACTGATAACCTGCTTTTTTCTCTATTTTTTCAGTAAATTTTTAGATTTTTTGGGTATCTAAAGTATTGCATGCAGAAAAACATATAATTTTAGTTTTAGAGCGGGTAAATTTTGTAAACAAAATACCCAAATATGGCACCTTATTTTAAGTAGGTACTGCCCAGTAAGCTCAGTGGACTCAATAACAATTTATAAAAACATTTAAAGAGGCACAACCCTACAACACAAAATTTCGAAAAGTAAGTAATTTACTTACCGACGCGTTATCTGATCGGTAAGTGAATTATATATAATTTGTCCACAAACTCGGCATTTTCTTTAGATATTTTTATAAAAAATAATTACAATTCCTTAATTTGGCATTTCTTTGGACAAAATATGCCATCAGAACTTTTTTGTTTCAGTTCTTTCCTCTGTTTTCTTCAAACCACTTCTTGAAAGTTTTTTCATAGCAATATTTTGACTTTGGTATTATAGAGGAAAGTTCTATTTTCCATGATTGTTTAATGTCTGTATTTTCTTTGCTCTTAGAATTTCTCATAGTTTTTATTAGTAAAAGATAATTTCTAACAGCTGTTTGACAATAATGTGACATAAGGAACAACATAACAAAGATAACCAGGGTTGGGTAACGACACGTAGAAAATTATTTTTCTACATGTATGTAGAAAATTACGTAGATTATTTTTTTTGACAGTTCTCTGTATTGTTGGGACATTGTTGAGGCATTGTTGTTGAGGGAACCTACAGCGAATTACAGCGATAATTTTTTGAAAATTTTCTCTGGTAGTTGCTATATATAAAAAACAAATTAAATCTTAATTAAATGTTGTTTTATTCATTATGAAATTCTTATTTGTTAACTGTACATGGTGCAATTCTATTGGCCGACATTTGGGACGGAAAAATAATCCCCCGAATACCACACGAGCTTCAAAATTATCTGGCATTTCCCTCAAGGTTCCCTGCAAACAAATAAAGTCGTCAAGTTTTTCAGGAAAAATCACTCGCGCTTCGCGCTCGTGATTTTTTAACCTGAAAAACTTGACTCCTTCATTTGTTTGCAACGAACCTATCGGGAAAAATACCCGATAATTTTGAAGCTCTTGTGGTATTATAAGTGAAAATTTAGAATATTACGTAGAAAATTATTTTTTTACATGTCCAGAAAATTTTGTAGAAAATTTAGAGTATTACGTAGAAAATGTAAAATATTAATTAAAGCTTTTTACATTTAACACATATATTATAAATATGTTGATGATATATGTAATTTTAATTGTTTAAATAAATAACCGAAAGTAGTCGTGAATGTAAAATTATTATAGCAAAGAAATATAAAAAAATTAAAAAAACAGAAATATTTATTAATACATTTTAAACAAATAATTAATTTTATGCATTTTGTAGTGTAGAAAATGTAGAAAATAGGTTGGTGTAAAAAATACATATTCTACGCGTAGAATATACAGTAGAATATGTATAATTTTCTACCTACCCATCCCTGACCATAACAACAAATTTAAAACAAAGTTTTTTTGATAAAAATCGCTATCAAAATAAAAATAAGTACTCAAAAAATTTTTATTAAATGTCAACAAATAGTATAAGCGTAATGTGCATTAACTATGGTGGCGGCCGATATTATTTTAAAGGTTCAACTAAACATTATTCACAAACAGAAAGGTTTAATTTACAAAAAAATTATAGCCTTAGGAAATAGAGTGATTAATTATGCGAAAAATGTTCTAAAACGCGACCACATGGCCGATATTGAAAATTATAGACCCATTAGTTTACTGCCTGTATTCTCAAAGCTTTAGAGGCAGCGACGTGTGAAAAGCTTGTAAATTTCTTTAATAAATGCTCTTGGTTTAACCAAGTCCAACATGTTTTTTTGAGGGGTAGATTAATTGAAACTCCAGTGTTTCACTTTCTTCAGAAAATAGTTATTAATTTTAAGAATAAAATGCTTTTGCTAGGGATGTTTTTAGACTTGTCCAAAGCTTATGACACCTTAAATGACGATATTTGAATAAGCAACTATGGAGTTGTGGAGTGATTTCGATCCTACCTCTTGGTAAGATGTCAAAAGGTTGTTGTTGAACAAGATTCACAAGGTAGCATTCCTGGACCCCTCTTATTTATTTTTTATTTAAATTATTTGAAAGACTGCTTGATAAAGATGCAGCAATATCATTACAGAAAGTAAAACCTTTGAAAGTTTGATGGAAAACGCAGATGGGGTGTTGCACTGACTTGTACAGTGGTTTAACAAAAATAAATTAATCTTGAATACAGACAAGTCTAATTTTTTAATTTTTCGAATAAACAATAGTTACCTAAATGTACCTGAGCAATCTGTGATAAACAATAAACTTGTGTCCTTTGTAAAAGACACAAAGTTTCTATATGTTTAAGTTGGCATAAACATGTTCAACAGATCTGTGATAAACTTAACAAAGTCTTTAGTAGTGCTTTATGTCAATTTGTTAACCTTGACACTAAAGATTTTATACCATGCAAATTTTAACTCAATTTTGACTTTTGGTATAATTTTTTGGGAAGAAGCAGTGATATTAAAAGTGTTCATCATTCAAAAAAGAACAGTTAGAAGAATGCTGGGCTTATCTTCAAAAACCTCATGTAGAGGTAAATTTAGACAACTGAAAATACTTACAGTTAGTGGCGTCTATATTTATCAATGTTTAATGTTTTTTTGTAGAGAACATCAGTTTGTTCAAAAAATAAAAATAGTAAAAAATTGTGATACTCGTTCATGTGATTATATGTATCCTATTCATAGGCTTACAGCCACTGAAAAAAGTGTTTTATATATGTGTATTAAACTGTTTAATAATTTACCCAGTAATATAAAGGCCCTAAGGTCTTGCAAGAGTTTTAAGTGTAATGTTTTGGATTTTTTGTTAGAGTCTGAACCATATTGTTTAAATGAATATTTGTTAATGGTTAAAATTTATTTCCTGTATGAGGACACATATTTCTTAAATGTAAATTTTATACATTTGTGTTATTACTTACCTTTGCTGAAATAAAGATTATTATTATTATTATTATTTTCTCGACTTAACGGGAAAAAATGTAAAGGTCCAACTAAACATTATTTACAAACAGAACCTATTTTTTTCATTTACAAAAAAAATTATAGCTTTGGGATATCGGGTGATAACTTTTGCGCCATCTTGATTTATAGAATATTTTGATACTTTAAGCGTTTTAATACATGTTTGCATGCGTTTTTCAGCCATTTAATGTTGCATATAATTCGGTCTCTAAATTATAGATTGTACATTCAAACCATTGCTTAGATAATTAATTAATTATTACAAAAAATAAAATACAAACAAGCATAAATATTGAATCCTGCAATTTCTGTAGGTAATTCCATTCCACCTGTTGTCCTTCTGCAAGTTCTCCATTTGGCATTTCCCAGATTCGCTGAGAAAAACGAACACGGCGGTTTTTCCCAACAGGTAATAAATCAATTTTAATATTTTTGTTAAATAGGTACATAATTAAATCATTTTTTTAGGATGCCAACGAATGTTGGACCGAACTGGTAAGAATGTTGCAGCAAAAACTGCTCGCTAAATCCAGTGACAGTGGTACTAGTCAAGAAAAGTTCAAGTAAGTGTAAATGTAGTTGAAAGGTTTGCACATTTAAAAAAAATAGTCTAAAAACAGGTTTGGTTATTTTGGGGACCTAGGATATTATTTATTAGTATTCGAAATATAGTTTTTTTAATTAACCAGCCGAATATTCCCGAATATACGCGTCATCAACTGTCAACTTTCAATACTTTCATAGTGTTTATTGCCAAAACTTACGTTTAGAATTATATTATTAATTTTATTTATGTTAAATTAAAATGTATAAAATACAAATTGTCGTTAAATCTAAATATATCTATGTTTTCAAATAAAATTTCTAATGTGAAATATGAAGTGGTTTTGAGTCACTCTGTATAATATTTAAATTGACTATTTTAATGTAATGTGTTGGATATCAAAGAGAGTAAATATTTTACATCCGGCAACAGTGTTCAAAATCTGAAAGTTCTTAAATATATGAAAGGGTGTGCTAAAACGTACTATAGTGTGACGTCATTACTGGTTGACGTGAAACCAGACATTTTTAAATTTAAATAAATTTAATAGTATATTATTATACGAGAGATAATGCAGGCACGCATTATTCACAAGGATGAGGTTTGCGTCTTGAGCCGTCAGGTGAGAAACCTAAATCATCCGAGTGAATAATGCGCATTATTTCGAGTGTAATATTATGCTTTTGCTACTTCAATTAAGTTATTTTCATTAATAACAAAATGTATATATACACTTTCTCCCGATTTTAAAGATCATTATAGTCGCCCCTCGTATATATAAAAAATCTGACATCTGTCAACCTTACTTTATCCAATTTAAAACCCGATTAGTTTAAATAACAGTAAATATTGAAATCAGTCAAACACTGATGCATAACAACGTGAATATTGAATTCATTATTTACGTTGTTATGCAGGGCAGTTATATTGGTTACCATTATTTACATGGGCGGATTTAGGTATGGGCTTTATGGACTGCAGCCCTGGGCCCGCCCGATCCAGGGCCGCCTACGCGGTAAAAATTTAAAAAAATTAAATTAAAAATTATTAGAGGTCCCTCATCGCGATTTTCTATTTAAATGAGAGAAAAAATGTTTAACTTTAAAATTATCGATAGCAGATCAATGGACTAAAATAATTAGAACAAATATGTTCTGGTTATTTATAAATGCTCTACAAAAATGGTCCTTTATAATTTTATGGTAAATCTAGCTTAAATAGAATATAGTAAGTTTCAAGTTTTTCTTACTTTTTATGTAAAACCATCGGATTTATTACAAAACGACAGATCATTTAATTTTCCATAAAAATATGTTATTTTATAATCAACAGTTAGTGGTTTAACAAATTATTATTTTTGGTTAGAATAACAATTAATTTCAAGAAAATAGCAATTTTATTGCAAAAAAATAATTTATAACCAGTAATTTAAAAAAATTTGAATGACATATTTGTAGAAAAAAAGATCTACAAAAAAGGTCCTATGACAACTGAGGGCTTTATAGGAAAAGAGTCAAACCACGTCAAGTGGGACCAGAAAATTTCACGAAATCACCGATTTTGAAAATAATCACATTATCGTGTAGTAGGCATGACTCATATGTCACAGTAAAAAAATTGTTTTAAAATTCGTTTTTTTGGTAATGTTATTAAGGTTGACAATTTTGTCAAACTTTAGAGCACGGTAAAATTGAAAAAATAGAATCTCTGGAACCACTATGTATAACACAGTACAACAAAATTTGATTTTTGGTCCCTCCCATGAAAAATTTCTACAGATTCTAAAAATAGAGTTAAAAAAATGATACCCGTGTCTCGGCGTTTTTTCACATCACGTCATAATTTTTTTTTAAGGGCTATCCAATAAAATGTTATTCACACTATTCGCGACATAATTTAATAGACTCAATAACAGCTGGACTGCATAGTTAAAAATATATATATTTACTAAATGGATAGGCAACCATTATAGATGCATTTTAAAATTATTTTAATCTTATACAGAGTTTTGCACATTTATATATATATCAAACGGTTTATTTTTAAACCAAGTAACAAAATGTTTCAATTTTAAGCCAACCAAAATGCTTTAAAGTCGGGTGATTAAAATTTTTATTTATTCATTTTTTTTGTAAAAATTGAGCTTTGTTGAATTAACATTTTGAAAAAAAAATTAAAAGATATTTAAATGAATTGATTTAAGTCTTAAAGCAAGTGTACCTAAAACATATTTAATTTAAGTAAAAAAAGTATTTAAGTATACTTATATACAGTGCTTGCAAATCCAAGTCCGACCGGTTTGAGAAGGACGCGTGAAAATAACAAGGATAGAACGCCAAACAGAAGGCGCTTACAATACGCACGCCTGACGCTCTGACCAATCAAATTCTGTTTGGCATTCTATCCTTATTCTTTTCACGCGGGTATTGAACAACCATCCTTTCCAAGGCGGTCGGACTTGGATTTGCAAGCACTGTATACGAAGTCAATTGAAACAGCAAAAAAACAAAAAATTTACACATCTGCGGCATTTAAACATAAAAAGCATTGTTTTCAAAACAATCTTTATACGAGGGTAATACTTTTTTTTTTTAATGTTAAATAAAAACATTATTGCAGCGATAAATCGATAAATTTTTCATATTAATTTTCATTGTTGAGTTAACCATCCATTTGAAATCAAAGTAAAAATGCAGTGTCCGAATCGAAATAATTTTTGTTATGTATGTGGTTTATTTGCACCTCCAAGCCATATGCGAAATATTACAAAAAGTGTAGTAACAGCTTTTGAAGACTATTTTTTGGTGACGTATATACCAAACTTATGGTATGTACCAGAGGTTTTATGCGATTATTGTTACCGTTGTTTGCATGGATTGCAAGATAAAACACACAGTATGAAATATGTTGCACCAACAATTTGGCTTCGACCCGTCGCGACGCACCGAACACGCATCTGACCAGTGTTATTTCTGCATGTCAAAATTTAAAAGTTTTGGATTTCGGTACAATACTAGAGAGAAAATCGATTACGCCGATGTAGAATCCGTCATTCTCGCAAGAGTGCGATCTGAAGATTATCCAACTGCTCCTTCAGAAAACATATGTGAGGATAAAAGTAAAAAAACCTTTAACACCCAGTACAACCATTTTTTCCGAGATGGAATCTGAATTTATTCCCTGTAGTTCGGGTTATAAAGTACATTTTATAACACAGGACATGAAAGTACATATGTCACTGAAAATACATATTCTCCATGCTCATTTGGACTATTTTCCACCAAATTTGGGCGATTTTAGTGACGAACATGGCGAACGTTTTCACCAAGACATTTTAACAATTGAAAATCGCTTCAAGGGAAAAGACGTCAGGCATTTGCTGGGTGAATATTGCTGGTCAATTGTTCGAGATTCTGAAGCAATATACAGCCTGTTCAGAATAAAACCGAATATATCTATATATATATTGGGCGTGGCCTCGCCTCCCTCCAAGGCGCGTCACAGTTGCTTGTGTGATAAACGACATGACGAAAGGTCGAGCAGGTAAGGACTTAAAAAATTAAATGATAATAATGCAAAAAATCTCATTAGCGATGCAGTCTATTTGCTTAGCTACTGTGTCGCGCATTGGAGGAAGGCGAGGCCACACCCCATATATATATAGATATATTCGGTTTTAGTCTGAACGAGCTGTATAATCGTCAAACTAAACGACCAAGATTTTATTCCAACATGTATTGAATATAAGATAAATGTGTTTCATTAAAAAAAAATAAAAAAAAATTATTTTAAAAAAATCAAAATATAAACTTTTTTTATATTTGTTTTTTTTATTGTGTAAAAACATACAATATTTACAAAAAAATATATTTTTAACCGAGTAAAAAATGTACAATCTGTATAAGCATAAATAATAGGAATGACGGCTTAAAATTTTTTTATGACGTGATCTCGTGAAACTGTGAGACACGGGTACGTTTTTTTTACCTCTATTTTCAAAATCTGCTAAAATTTTTCATGGGAGGGAAATCGTGTTGTACTGTGTAATTGAATTAAATTTTACACACTATTGTAGAAATGTTTAGACTATTTAATGATCATTTAATTAAGGTTAATTTGTTTAAATAAAATAATTTTGCATACATTTATTATAAACAATTGAAATTTTGTATGTGTTCTTCACGCTGAAAAAAAATTAATCTTGTGTCATAATTTGCGGTAAACGTTCCCGTTTAATAAAATGTACTCAAAAATTTGTCCTTCATATGTCATTCCGGAGATATTAAATTTTTTGTCCCGCTGTGCGCTTGATCAGTACGCGGCGCGCTTCGCTGCTAGCTCGTCAGGACACGGTGTGCCTGAACGAAGTTTAAGTCGCATAAAAATTCCGCAGTTTCTTGTTCGGGACTCTTTGGTGACTTAAAAATATTATTTACCAAAATCCTAGCTGCTCCCCTTTTTGAAACATTTTGAAAAATCTTTTTTATGCATTATGGGTTTTACTATATAAAAAAGTGATTTTTGTCTAATCCTGTATAAATCTAATGATGTGCTCAGTATAAAAACAGTTTCTCTCGTTTACAATATCGGTGTACAAATGTGTACTCTGGCAAAGCTAGACTTTGCGATAAACAAATAATTAAAAAAAAATGATTTTTTTACAAATTTAAACAAAAAACAGTTAGAATTTTGGTAAATATTTTTTTTAAATCACCAAAGAGTGCCGATCAAAAAACTTCAACCAATTTTTCGTTCAAAATTGAAAACTACTAAAAAGCCTAAATTAAACAACATTTTAAATACTCTCTAAGCGTTATTTTATTAAATTTTATTACAAATCTATTTTTCTTGTAAAATGTTAATAAAAATGCAATTTTGATAGACGTAGAAATATCTAAAAAAAAATTGGGGATAAATATTTTTCGCGTGTTATGCTATAAGTAATCATGAATTTACGCTTTTGCATTATTAAAAATAAGTGATTTATGGCTAACCCTTTATATATCAAATGATGTGAACAATTATTGTAATAAAAAGTATTCTCTAAGTCTCCTAAATAATTTACTCTAATTTTATAAAAATCGGTGTGCAAATGTGTACTCTGTCAAAGAGATAAACAAAAATTTAAAAAAAAATCATGAATTTTCGAACAATTTTGAAAAGAGTAGCAGCTAGAACTTTGGTAAATATCATTTTTAAGTCACCAAAGGGTCCCGAACAAGAAACTACAATCAGTTTTTGGCGGCATTTTTATGTGACTTAAACTTCGTTCAGGCACACCGTTAAAACGTTAGAACGGACGAGCTAGAAACGAAGCGCGCCGCGTACTGATCAAGCGCACAGCGGGACAAAAAAATTAATATCTCCGGAATGACATAGGAAAGACAAATTTTTGAGTACATCTTATTAAACGGAAACGTTTGCCGCATATTATGACACAAGATTAATTTTTTTTCAGCGTGAAGAACACATACAAAATTTCAATTGTTTATAATAAATGTATGCAAAATTATTTTATTTAAACAAATTAACCTTAATTAAATGATCATTATATAGTCTAAACATTTCTACAATAGTGTGTAAAATTTAATTCAATTATACGTAGAGGTTCCAGAGATTCTATTTTTTCAATTTTACCGTGCTCTAATGTTTGACAAAATTGTCAACCTTAATAACATTACCAAAAAAACGAATTTTAAAACAATTTTTTTACTGTGACATATGAGTCATGCCTACTACACAATAATGTGATTATTTTTAAAATCGGTGATTTCGTGAAATTTTCTGGTCCCACTTGACGTGGTTTGACTCAAAAGTAAGAAAAACCTATAATTTTAAACAAGTATACATATTTATCATTAACTATAAAAATATGTTTTGCTGTTTTCAGTCCATTGATTCGTTTATATAATTCCAAAATTAAAAAAATCCTATGTTATGGAAAATAGATTATCACTATGATTGATCTCTTAATAATAATAAGGCTCCTGAAACTATTAAATTAAAAAATAGTGTTTTTACAAACTTTAAAGGCCTTTAGGTAAGTTGGGTTAAATCGAATTATTTTGAACCAAAGAGTATGTGGCCCTACATTGTACAGGCTTTTTTGAGACACCTTGTATAAATAATAATAATAATATTTTTTTTTAAATCTGTGTTATTTTCCTTGGTTTTTGTTTTTGACCTGAGAATGTTGTTTTGTTTTTATTTGTTAATAAAAGTATTGCCTTTTATATTTATTTTTTATTTATGTTTATTAAGTAGGTCATTTCCACGAAAAAATTAAATCCCCTTTTTTATTGTAACTGTAAAAGTGCATCAATTTAAAAAGTTGTTTAATATCTATCAATATAAGAAATCTTTTTAATAAAAACCTTCTATAGGCCCTCAAACAGCTTTAGCCTAGAGCCCCAAAAGGTAACGGTCCGCCCCTGATTATTTACGAAAAACCCATATAATGTCAATAATATGCAATAGGAGTAGAACAAATAATTATTAAGCAGTGAATGTGACAATATTCAACCCCAAATACTGCTTCAAAACGCTATAAAACATACAAAAACGAAAAATGTGTTAAGAAACAACCTATTGGTACCTCAAACCAAGCTTTTCAGTAGACTAGGTTGGCCAAGCAAAGTACCCTATGGAAAAGGTCGTTTTAAAACACGTTAATTTGTTTTATTTAGGTCGATTATTGATCAGTATTTTGGCGGAACTTTCGATGTGGAACTAAAATGCGTCGAGGCTGAAGATGAACCAGTGGCCAAAAGTAAAGAATCCTTCTTGCAGCTGAGCTGTTTTATTTCCCAAGAAGTTCGTTACATGCATTCCGGGTTGAGGTCCAAGATGCAGGAGCAGATTACGAAAAAATCGCCGTCATTGGACAGGGACGCAGTATACACAAAAACAGTAAGAAAAAAAGAAAAATTGTCACGAAACAATATTCCCCATACTCGCACACTAAAAGCTAATTAATTATTTATTTTTTTCAGTCTAAAATTAGCAGACTGCCAGCCTATCTCACAGTACAGTTTGTGAGGTTCTATTTTAAAGAAAAGGAAGCTATTAATGCAAAAATATTAAAGGATGTTAAGTTTCCTATGGATTTTGATGCATTTGATTTGTGTTCTGAGGAGTTGCAAGAAAAATTGACACCAATGAGGTCCAAATATAAGGTAGATATAACATTTTTTTGTATTTGTACCTTACGCCCAATCAAATTAGGCAAAAAACTGCCCAACTTCACAAGAAATCCTAGTAATGATTTTTCTTTGAAAAATTGTTTATTTTGGCAGACCACTCGATCAAAATTAATTTGAACCAAAACTACAAAAGATATTGAGTTGCAATTTTGACAACCTACTAATGCATATAAATGCTTTATTATATGAAAAATGCACATTTATACCTCCAGTGGCGGAGCATGAAATGGGAAAAATATATTTTTTTCTGTCAATGCTTATAATTTTAAAAACGTAAATTAAAAATAAACTTAATTTATCGTTAAAAACACTTTAAATGATGACCGCCTTTGGCGTAGCTTCCATGAAAAATTTCTACAGATTTTGAAAATAGACTTAAAAAAATGATACCCGGGTCTCGGCGTTTTTTCAGATCACGTCATTTTTTTTAGTGCGATCCAATAAATATTATCCACGGTATTCGGCACATAATATAACAGCTGGACTGTATAGTTTTTTAAATTTTTATTTACTGAATAAATGGACAACTATGAAAGCTACATATTAAAATTATTTAAATTTTATACAGGGTGTTGCACATTTACGAAATATATCAAGTGGTGTTTTTTAAGTTGTGATCAAACCATAGATTTTAAAGCAATATACCTATGTAATTATACAATTTATACAATTTGATAATTATAATTGTCAAACTAAAAGACCAAGATTTTTTCCAACATATATGTACCTATTAAAAATAAGATGAATACAAATCAGTTGTTAAATTAAAAAAAAAAAATTTAAAATAGAAATTATTTTTATTTTATTTAAAAAAAGTTAAACTAATTTTTTAAGTATAATTTTTGTATTATGTAAAAACATGTAATATATTACAACATTAGTTCGTTTTTATATGTACATATTAAATACATATATGTATTTGATTCATAAGAAATCAAAATGATTTTAATAAAGTATATCCTATATAATTATAATTTATAATAGTATATTATGTATCAAGTTTGATAAAGGCCAATTTAATTTAATGAAAAGTTTATAAACAAGTTGCATACTATACTTTTTCGAAGACAAATACTTATTATTATCTTAAAGTATGAGTGAGTATGAGTATGGGAACGTATGGCAGGCCCCAGATATATTATCCTCCACGATCTCCCGGGGATATTTTACCCCCTTTTCGTTCTCCTGCGTATCCCGCCAAATCACAGCATTACCTGTGTTTGTTGGATCCGAGGTTTTACGCCGGCTGGTTGATCCGCCCTAGGAGGTTGTGGAAGACAATGTCAAAGGTTAAGGCTGCTCCCGGAATTTTTGTCAGCCGGGTCGGGCCATACGTCCAGTTTAGGAAGGGTTTTTGGGGGACATTGAACTGACCCAAAACTAAGTACAATCCGGAATCCCCCTTAACCAGGTCTTTAGTAATAACCCCATTCATTTGGTATTCTTGAATGGGGGTAGAAGTGTTAGTACGCTGCTAGAACCTGTCCTTTTGGTGTATTTCTGAACGTCACTGTCCGAGTCAGTATCAGGTTCCTGGTAACCTCTTTAGAATTGTTTGCCCCCCTGTGTGATACTCAGTCTTGTCTTCCGTATCGAAGCGTTGACGGCCCTGATACCCGTGGGTGTTCTTTCCCTTAATGGGTATTCCTCCTGCCAAGTATCGGCTACCCACCTTGTATATTCCTTATTTATTTTAAAATTAATAATTGTCAACCAGTATCTATATAGATCTTATATAAATATCAATTAATCAATACCAATATCAACCAATAATCAATTAATCAATATTACGTTAGCATCAATATCCACCAATTAATCAATCCATATTAATATTAATAATAATACTAATAATAATATTAATAATAATAATATTAATATCAATATCCATAATTCCAACATCAATATCAACATTAATACCAATAACATTAACATCAGTACCAATACCAACACCCATACCAATCAGTCGGTCTATTAATTTATTAATTAATTAATCAGTCTCTCTAATGTAAATACCAATATACAAAATGGGTAAATCCGGCTCTGTAGTGTATGTAATGGAATGCGGCAACATGGCGTAGGCTGAGTGGGTCTTCCTTCTTATCTATCCTAAATGCATATACAATATTACCTATTCACCAATGTTGCCATTTGTAACAAAATTATCGAATTGTAACATAATTTTTTTCTAAAAACAAGCTTGAAAATTATATGTGACATAACGATAATTGTAACGTAATTTTTTAATCCAAGTATCTGGACAAAATTAACTTTATTCTATCCAGATTAATAAATTTAATTAAACATAAAGCCTGATTTATAGATTTTCTACCTTCCTCCCGTAAAATATCAGCAATACCGTAGTGCTGTTTATAGATTTCCGTACGGTCTTTATAGTTCTAAAGGTAACGATAGAGGCATCGATAACGGTAGCCAAGTTGGGCATTGAATATTATATGAAACAATTTATAGTTGTCAGAGGAAGCGGTAAGGGAAGAAGGGGCAAGAACGTATACGTTATAGCGGCAAGAGCGGCAAGAGATGACCTTTTTTCATCTTTTCTTATCTCAACCGCGACTCCAGCCAATCACACGGCAGTTTTTAGTTGACAGCCTCGTCTTGTAAGTTTAGTGTTTTTGCGAGGGGCCGCCATTACCGCTACCGCTACTTTCTGAACTATAAATCCAGCTTTATACTATTTTTTAACAAATTTTATAATTTTTTAAAAATTCGATTCTTTCTCTTTCACTTTTTTATGGTTAAATTATAATAATTATTGTTACATAATTATTACAATTATTGTAACTTAATTTTCCGAAAATTCGATAATTTTATTTACCCAATTCGATAATTTCAACTTTTACATCTGGCAACACTGCTATTCACACACAACTTGTTTATGTTATTTTTTGTCTTCTTGTATGTTTGGTTTACTTATTTATTTATCTTACGCCTTTTTCGATGGTTGTTTATGATTTGTCTGCTATGAGAAAATGGTTGTTTGTTTAAACTTACGGAAATGTTCTTATTCTTTTTTAATTTAGTTTTTGAGACAATAAAAGAATTCTTAGTATTTTCTTTTTGCAACATTGTGAAATGCTTATATAAACATTGTGAAATGCTTTTATAAACATTTAGCGAATATACGGTAAGACATGCAATTGGAAAAAATAACTTAGCTTGATTATTTGGTGCTGGAATTGATCCATTTCGCATGCCGCTCGCACGTGTGGTAGTCCAGTAAATTTCGTGGAAGTGATCGTCTCTCTCACACCTTTTAACCAGGTCCAACACTTGAGGATTTAATCCAGGGGGAGGTACCACACACAATTTGCACTCTTTTGCACTTGGAACAGTTATCACGTTTAGAATCGATTGATTTTTTATTATTTTACGGCGTTAACCAGTTATCACGTTACTACGTTTGTATCGTATACGCTGCTTAAGAGAGATCACGATGAGCATATGCTTACACTTCAAGCGTCAAGAGCAGACTGGATACTTATTATTATCTTAAAATGATTTAAATTAAATATTTTTATAGAGCGACATCTATAAAACATTTTATTCTTGGGAATGTCCAATTTGTATGTATAAATCAAAATGTATCCCTTGGAAATGGACCCTTTAAATTCGATATAGAAGAACTTTTTTACAGTAAAACCCAAAATTAAGTTAAATCTAGTTTAATGCTTGTGAAATTAAAAGGTCAGTACAATGTTTATATAAACTTTTTAAATATTGGCGTTCAGATACTATTTAATACTTTTGTATTTTTGTATTGCGATAATAAAATAGTTTTTACATTTAGTATTATTTTACAAGAAGGGCACTTTATTTTAACGATTTTATGAAATTTGACAACTGTCAACTAACTTCAGCCCGTGAATAAAGCTTAATTTTCATGTATCCGTTTGTCCGTCAGTACGTTCATCCGGGAGCGCTCTTATTGGTCCAATTATAATTCAAAAATTATGACATTTTTCTGTCCGTCAAGTTTTAACTTCGTACGTCTGACGGAGAAATTTAAAATAATTTTAACTAATCTGTCACTACCACGGTCTTATATACGACCGTGGTCACTACACATCTGTTTTTGACGCCTAACGTTATTTTAAGATACTTTATTTTCAAATCTTTTAATATTCTTTTAATAAGATTGTAAAACGGAAATATAACGTTCGTTGTGTGAATAATGTTCTACTTTTATGTTTTTATTTAATAATAATAAAAGAAGAAAAGAAGAGACAAACAATAAAATATTAAAACCAGAACTAAAAGGACCTGCTTTTTTAAAACTATACATTTTAATGTAAATTAAGGCTAGTATATTCTTTTTATATGGTATATTTACCTACCTTTAAATTTATTAGACAGCTAACTGTTAAGTTACAATTGTTGACATAATTGTAACTATGACAATTAAGCATTAGGTAAATTTAGTAAAGTGAATATACTGACACTTAATTTCTATTTGTCGCCAAATCAATCCGTTAAACGTCATTTAAAAACGTATGCATGAAAATTAGAACATTTCTTATCGGACGTTTTTATTGAAAAACTGACATACGGATGACGGACAAACGGATACATGAAAATTAAGCTTAAAACGCCATAAAGCCACAACTTGTTAATGTGTCACTAGTCAGTGGCGTAGCTGGGGGCCCGCGGCGCGGGGTGCCCAGAGCTTTGAGGGTCCCCGCTAACACTTAAAAAAAACTTCAATCTATTTTTAATACCCATTATATTGCTTTTAAAGTAGACAATTAAAACAAATTTAAACACAGGGTGTCAGGGGTTATTTATTATATATGTGCACATTGTAGATTTTAAAAAACAAACGAGTCAAACCCATGGCTTTGCGATGATTTATATTAAATGTGCATGTATTAAGAAATGTCTTTTATACTCAAGAATTAAACCTATTTAAAGTGTTAACTTAAAAAAACTATAAACTATAAAAATAAGTGATGAGCAGCAAATGTGATAAAATATTAATATAATTAATTGAGGCGTTTCTCGGAAAAACATCATTAGTCCAATATCGTCGAAATTTAGATATTAGCACCAACTGTTTCCTAACCTCCATATATACGTATACAAATAAGTGTTTCTCGTAAAAATGTCATAGGTTCCATAATAATTAAATATGAAATTTAGCTTGTTCTTCTAAAAACATCACAAGTCCACTCCGTTTCGTCTAAGAAAGTCACATGTACACAACATGTGACGTTTTTGGACACTCTAGAAAAGCTTCTACCTCTTTTATATTACCACAGCTTAGAAAATTTTATGATAACTTGATAAAAGAGCAGAAGACCATAGCACCTGACAGTCCTGATAACACGGTCGACAACGATGATAACAGCTGTGGATGCGAAGACTGAGTGTGGCAGTAATACAGTTTTTAGTTTTTTCATTCATTTTGTAACTCAGAGTTAGTATTTAGTTTGTAGTGTTTGTAGTAAGGAGAATTGTTTGTTTTTTCTTCTAAAAACCTCACATGTTCATGTATTTTTTGTGTTTTTTTCATATTCGTTTGAAAATACAAACATGAGGAATTCTGGACAAAGTATCTTACATTTTTTTACATGTAGTAAATAGGTCAATAAAGTACTTTGGTCAAAAATGGGAATGTCGGAGAGTTTTTTTCATTTTCCCAAATATGTTAATTTTGGACTAATGATGTTTTTCCGAGAAACGCGTCAATTGTATTATAATATATAAAAGAGGATATCCCTTTAAAGAATGTATGTTTTGGGATGAAAATAAACGATTTGATTTGAAATGGGGTTAATTCGTAAGTATAAAAGTCATTTCTGAATGCTACAATGTAGCATGTCATGTATTTTTAATATAACTTAACTCAAACGCCCTGTGTTACATACATAGGTTTGGCTCGTTTTTTTTTAAATCTATGTGGACACACCTATATAATAAAAAATGGGGGCCCATTAGGATTTTCGCGGGGGGCTGAATTCTCAGGTACGCCACTGCACTTAGTGTCATGAAAACATGTACGATAATAGGCGTTATAAAGGTGGGTTTTATTTTATTTACTCTCGTACTAAGGCCGCCTGCGACAGGCCATCGCCAATAACAATAAAATAAGGAATCAAACGGTGTGACGGATGTGCTTTTCTTTTTTATAAGATTGTCTTTTCCGAGAAAATAAATTGTTTGTAATTTTTGGGTCAAATTTCAGTTTTTAACGTTATTTTAAATCGTAAATGTTAGTTTTGTTTAGTGACATTTATGTATTATTTTATTTCGCTAAACTACTTATATATTAAAGGTTAATTTGGTAGTATTTTTGATATAATTCGTCCACTGGTTTTAATTATATAGAGGATTAGAAATTCATATGAAAAAAATAAAAAAATAAATTCCTTGGAGTTTCTTCTATATGATATGTTTTAAATTTTTCTAGAAAAAAGTTACCCAAAGGTAATTTGGCCAACGTCATTCCACCGTTCGGCGTTGCCAAATATCGAAGCTCAAAGGTAACGAAAAACAGTTTTTTTTAAATGTCGTAGATTATTAATTTTACGAAAATTTTGTGTATTTATAATAAAAATTTTGTGTATTAATAATACTATTAATTTAATAGTAATTAAAATTCGCTAGAAGCTTCAACAACAGCCTCGTATCTCGAGAACTATTAGTCTGACGTAAATTTTGTAAAAGACCATTTTTATGCGGATTTGTGTGGTAAACAAATCTTATAATTACAAAAATTTATGAAAAATCAATAGTTTACGAGAAAAACTGTTTTTCGTGACTTGGAAACGCCTGCACGATTTCGCGATTTAGTGGAGGTTGATTTTTAAAGTAACATCCTTTTTTATTTTTTAAAGGATTTGGAAGATGCTCTAGTTGAACATTCTGACAAAGACAAAAGCAAAAAAATAGGAGATGGGGCAGTTGCCAGCAAAGACAAAACATATGCACCCTACTGGTTTGAAGATGGTAAGTAACTTAAATTTAAAATTATTCTTTGTTTATAACCTAATACTTCAATTAAGTATTTTTAAATTAAATTTTTTTAAGGTTGTTATATAAAAGTTATTAATGACGTAATTAATTAAGTGTGTGTGCTGATTTGTTTTTTATGTATTTGAACAAATTATGTCTTAATTTTTCTCTACGGCTATATAACGTGATTTTTCCTAGGTTTACGTAATTTTTTTTTAATTTTTATTGAAGAAAAACTTTATTTTTAATATGAATATGGTTCTCAAAAATATAAAAATGCATCAGACTACTCTCTGCAGGGCTGGATTAAGGGGGGCTAAGGCGGCTGAAGCCCCGGGACTCCACATCATAGGGGCCTCCAAAACTAGTTATACCACCAATATAAATATATTTTATTCTACCTCTTTACTTCCTTAAACAGAAACGTCAATTTTCCTACATTTAATTCCTAATTTTTTACTTGTGTTGAAAATACATCTCATCAGTTCAGCAAATGTATAATATTTTACTGGAAAGTGAATTGGTCGAAATGTTCTCGAATGTAGCTATCGCTTAAGACATAATTGAATATTTTGCGCGGCTCAAGGCGAGAAAAATTGGAATTGGAAAAAGCAAAGTGTTACATTTTAAGGCTCCTTAAAGTTTTCTCGATATTTTTGGTCTTGGCTTAATTTTAGCAAGTTTTAACGGTTATTTGGATTATTCCGTCTTATTGTCCTTAAGCCCGTTTCATATAGATGCGAAATGCGAATAATGCTCCCATTGGTCCATTTGATTTAGCGGGAAAAGCGTTTCGACAGATCCTGCGAATTCGCAACATTTGAATCTAGGGGCGGGAATCTTGAGATTGATACAATATTTTGCGAAAATTTGACTAATTTGGTTTGATGCGCATGCGTTTCTCATGCGCATTAATGCTTATCATACCTACCATTTATGTTTATTTCGTTTGTATCGTATTGGTTTTGTTGAGTTTTATTCGAACTGTTTAAATAAGTGTTTTAAGTTTTTTTTTCGTTTTTTTTTATAATGGACAAAGAGTTTTTTGAGGTACATTAGTGTTTCTTATTTTACCTTTATATTTACTTTAACTAACTTTACTGTTTTAGTACCTAAAATAGCATGGAAAATATCGCCTAGTAAAAAAAAACAATGTCCCTAAAATAGTTCGCATCTATATGAAATAGAAGTTGCGAATATTCGTATTTTGCAATTCGCATTTCGCATCTATATGAAACCGCTTTTACTCGGCCATTTCAAGCGCGCGAAACGCATGAATTACAAAACAGTTTTTATAACAAAATTGTAGATAATTTATTATATGCATAATAGGGTGGGTTGAAAACAAAATGTTTGTTTTTTTTTCTTAGCATGGGGGTAGAATTTGTACCTTATAAAAAAGAAAATTTTTCAAAAAAAAAAAAAATTTTTTTACTCAACATCTTGAGGTGGCCCACTCGGTTTTTAAATAAATATTTTTAATCAAATGGGGTAGTTCCAACGGGATTTTTTTTTTGTTCTAGAATCTGTAGGGTGTCCCCTTAAAAGCCAATTGGAAGTCAAAAGTTGAATGTTTTCCACGATTTTGGACCAAAAAAAGAATTTCCTGTTGGAACTACCCCATTTGATTAAATATTTATTTAAAAAACGAGTGGGCCACCTCAAGATGTTGAGTAAATTTTTTTTTTCTTTTTAAAAGGTACAAATTCTACCCCCATGCTAAGAAAATAAAACAAACATTTTGTTTTCAACCCACCCTAATGCATAATATTTTGGCATCAAAATTGTCAAAAGTAGTTTTCTTTTATTAGGCTATACAATAAAAAAAAAGCAAGAAATATTTTATAAAACTAGAGATAATTTTATTAATTTAAAGGTGTTGACGGGTCAAAAAAAAGATTTATCTTGCCCTGTCCACTACTTTTATAAAATATTTCTTGCGTTTTTTTTATTTATTGTATAGCCTAATAAAAGAAGAATATATTTGACACTTTTGATGCAAAAATAATATATAATTAATTACCTACAATTTTTTTTATAAAAACAGTTTTGTGATTTGTCCCATCCGTATGCTATAACAAAAATAAGGGCCTCAAAATATCACATAGCCCCTGGATAAATTCCTGCTTAATCCGGCCCTGACTCTGGTATTTTAGATTAAATTTTTTTGTGTGGCTGTGTTATATATCAAGACATAAAAAGTAAAATTTTAAAAAGATTAACAGGTAGGAACAAAATAGCATCAGGAGATAAAATAAAACTGTTACTAAACCTTTCTGAACTATTTACCTTTTAGACTTGGGCAGCAACAACAGCGGTTACTACACCCTGCAAGCGGTCCTCACTCATCGCGGAAGGTCGTCTTCGAGCGGCCACTACGTCGGCTGGATTCGACGCGAGGGCGACGAATGGGTGAAATGTGACGACGATACAGTGTCGTCCGTCACCACCGAAGACATCCTAAAATTGTCCGGCGGCGGTGACTGGCACTGCGCCTACGTCCTCCTTTACGGACCAAGACGATTGGAGATCGAGGAGGTCAAAGAGGCCGCTGAAGAGATGGTCACTGGAGAGTAGAGGGCGCTTTTTTTGTTTAATTTTTTTGTACAATTACGGATACTGACTAATAAATATAAAGAATTTCATTATTTAAACGGTATTGGTTTTATTATACTTACATAGAATAATTTAGGTACCGTAAACACGGGTGGCTTTAGCTCACTTTTAAACTTAAGCTTAAAATTTTTGTGGTTTTAACAATCAAATATATTAAATATTGTATACCAAAATTTGAGTCTTAAGTTGCTCTTTCATAATAACTAAGTTATAATATTACGTAGGGCTGAGTTTCAAAAATACAAATTAAAAACTGGGTGTGCAAAGTTACCCCCTGATTGCGGGTATTTTCCGTATAAAATTAAGTCAATATTTTATTTTATGTTAGAAACGACATTGCAAGGGATTACCAATAAAAAAAATAAAAAATCGACCTGTAGTTAACCAAGGATCATCATTCCAAAGGATTGCGCCTAATATAGAAATTGTACCGCGTGTATTTCTAAGAGTTCTGCACTGATGCAATATAAACAATTTTTTCAACTCCCACCTTTAAAACGTCCATTATCGTACATGTTTCCATGACACTAAGTGACCTTTTAAATACACATTGAAAAGTTGTGGCTTTATGGCGTTTTAGTCACGGGCTGAAGTTAGCAACAGGTTTTTAATCACGGGCTGAAGTTAGCTTTAAGTTAGTTGACAGTTGTCAAAGGTCGTACAATCGTTAAAATAAAGTGCCCTTCTTGTAAAATAATACTAAATGTGAAAATTATTTTATTATCGCAATACAAAAATACAAAGCATTAAATAGTTTCTCAACGCCAATATTTGAAAAGTTTATATGAACATTGTACTGACCTTTTAATTTCGCCGAAAGTAAACTGGATAACTTAAATTCGAGCTCGGACTCCACCGTGAAGTGCTCATAAAACATTTTCTTTACTTTCACTGAAAAAAACTCTTGTTAATCAATTTTCAACGAAAATATTTTGATTTATAACCTTTATAACACAGAAAAATTTGACATTTGACGCTACCAAACACAGATTCCCCTATTGTTTTATAGATGGCGCTCTATACAAATATTTGATTTAAATCATTTTAAGATAATAATAAGTAAGTATTTGTCCTAGAAAAAGTATAGTATGCAACTCGTTTATAAACTTTTCTATACACTCATTAATTTAAGCGCTCGCTCGTGCCTAAATTAAATTCGTGTCTAAAATGGCGTTTATCAAACTTGATACATAATATACTATTAAAGTGTAATAAATAATCCTATTTATTTCTTTAAAACACTGATTTTCCTGTAATATAAACTCAATAGAATCGCTCAATTGACAGGTTTAGAGTCTAAACTTTAGACCAACAAATTATAAATGTTAATTTTATCGAGCGCGAAAATATTTTTAATAAAAAGGTTAAAGTCACTCGCGGGGTGCAAAGCCACCCGTGTTTACGGTACTTTATAAGTAAGAAGTAACACCTAAATGAAATAAATAAAAATATCAAAACATTTTTGATGTGTTAACATCTATTTTATGCGGAATAGCCTATTCCCTGCGGTACGAACTTACTGGGAATTAATCGTTACGCGTAAGTCATGTAGATGTGACGACTGCGTCATTGTGTGCGTGCGATATTAGTGAGAGTGGCGTGCATAGGATTTTGGGTATACCAATATCTCAGTTATTAGACATGGGACTCACACCAAATTTATAATAGTTTATAATGACATTAAATAGGCAAGTTTGGCGCAAACAGAATTTAAGTTTGCGAAAAAAAATTAGTTTTTCGTGTAGCCTTCCCGCCTCCTGGTCCCCTATTTGAGATAATTCAAATTAAAGTAATGCAATTTATAATCTACTATAACTTATCGACAAATTTAAAATTATATTTTAAAAATACAAATATTACAGATTTTATACGATTTTAAACTTTTATTATTTCTTTTATTACGAAAAACTAACTTTTTCATAAAGTTAAATTTAAATTCTGTATTGCGCCGAACTTGTCTATTTAATGTCATTATAAACTAAGCCAAACCCCCCCATATGTACAAAAGATTATTTTCATTGTTAAAAACAATAAAAACTATCTTATGTCCTTAATTATTTAATATTGCAGCTTAGCACGGCAGTATTGGTATACACAAAATCCACCAGCCGCCACACAGTGGTCTGAGAGGTAAATTTACGCGGCAAAAATTATTCTTTAAATATTTTTCCCAAGACGTGTCTTTTTTATGTTTTTAAGGGTGCTAAATTTACTTCTTATATAATTTTTTTCAAAAATATTTGGTATTGAGGGGGTAAGTCTAGCCAAATGATATAAAATGATTTTTTTTTAATATTTGTGTATTTTTTGTTTTTTTTATGTTTTATATTTAATAATTTAATTATTAAATAAATAAATGTTTATAGTTCGTACCAGGGGGCGATCGCCAATGTTGGCGATTGCAACATGGCGCAAGCATAATTTTTTATCATGAATAACCAAAAACCATTACCTTCAAAGTATCAAAAATATATTATTATATCAACATTTGACATTTCACCATATTTCTTTTTAACAACCCTATATTGTGATGGTTGACAATAGGAAAACTTATTATTTTTATTATGCGTTAAATACTCTTGCTTGTTTTAAAAATAAAATTCCTATAGAACAATAATTATTGTACTACCCTCTTAAAGCACTTTGCTGTTTTTTTATTTTCTGAGCACCCTGGACATTTAATTAAAAATGTTTGTTAGGAACCTCATTTTTAAATACAAGCAGAAGTTTTTATAAAGAATGATTTTTTGCGATTCCGTTACGAATATCTTACGACATTTCTCTCTTTTTTTGGTATATATTTTTTTTTTAATTTCTGAGCACCCTGTATATATAATTCATCTTTTTATGAGTCTTAATTTTTAACCATCAAATATTTTCAAAAAGAATTCATTTTTCCATAAAACGCACTTCTAGTTTTTTGGGTTTTTTTAGTTTCGGAGCACCCTGTACATTTAATTCAAAATGTTTGTGTAGGAATCTTATTTTTGAAACAAGCAAGAGTTTTTAAAAAACACCATTTTTTCTTTTGTCATTACCATCCGTGGGCACACTATACAAAGTATATTAAAAAAATAATATTATGTAATAGGAGTAAAGAAAATTGTATTATCATTCTTAAATGCAATAATTATTATCAAATTTAAAAAATATATTACTTTTATGACCAGGTTAGCGGTAATTTGTCGGCCATTTTTCATTTTTGAATAACTCTCTTATGGGCGCATAAAGGCTGATGAATTTTTATAAAGTCAGAGCTGGAGGTTCATATTTTCGAATGCACTATGTGGTTCTGGGCAAGTAATTATAAATTTTTACTTATATTTCATTTATTATTTGTGATTACAAAACTTCAGAATTTGTAGGTTAAAAAACGCTATATTTTTGGCAAAAAATCCAAAAAAGATATTTTAAAGTTGTATTTGTACTCAACTTTATCGCTACTATAAATTTTTGTCAATAATTTTCACTATTATATTTACGCAACACCTTTTTTTACACGAAAAATACAAGATTTCGAAAGTAAGAGTATTTTTGACAATCTTTGCAATGCATACGCACTTAATTCTACTTCGCAGTTTTAAATCTTAGGTAATAATCTGTCACGAACAATAAAGAGGCATCAAAATGCGTTTTTAAAGTGTTTTAAAAATTGTATTTTTGCCGCGTAAATTTGCCTCTCAGACCACTGAGGTAAGAAAGAGATAGAAATGAATCAATCACAACCTCCTGGATATGAGTATCAAATTTTAAAAATGTTCAATCGTTTTTTAATTGTCAAAACCTTTCATTTTTGTTTAATTTTTTTTAAATACATTTTTTTCAAAATTTACAAATTTCTCCCACTTAACTCGTACCAGCCATGATGTTTACACATTCTTTGTGAGGACAATATTGTCCTGGTTTTGACAATTAAAAAAGGATTAGGTGGGTGAACATTTTTAAAATTTGATACTCATATCCAGGAGGTTGTGATTGATTCATTTCTATCTCTTTCTTACCATATGGTACTCAACTGTGTTTTTTAACTGTTGTTTAAATAAAAAAATATAATTTTTAAAACATTTTAAAAGGAGAATAATTATTATATCGCGTTAAAAACACAGTTTGAATGAAAAAACTATACAGTGTGTAACAAAAAGGTTGGAAATAAATGTAATGGTGGATTTCTTGGTAAAAAATGTTTTGCTCTACAGGTTTTCGCTTTCAAGTTACAGGGTATTAAAAAGTACCTAGTTTTTATTTTATAACTTTTGAACACAAAAGATAAGAAAACAAATCTTAGCATTTACTTTATTTGGTAATGTTCTAGTATTAAAAAGTTGTTACTCAGTGGCGTACCTATATACGGTTATTGCCGTAGAGTTAAAAAAATTGTGGTAGGTACCCCATTGGAAAAATGTTTTTTGTTATTGATTTTTTATTTTAAACACAAATTTTCTTGTGTTTTTTTTGTATCTCCGTTTTTCCATAATTAAACCTTTTGTAAATACCAGTTTTTTACAGTCCATTGAAAAAAAGTTGCGTTATTACAAGACCATTAAATGCCACGAAAATTGGCGGTTCTTAAATAATTTGAAAAAAACTAAAACCTGACAAAACAAAGTTTTTCATGTAATAAACTCACATTTTCATTGCATACTAGATTTTGTGTTACCACCACCATCTTTTGGTAGATAAAAAATCAAGGAATCCAACGATGTATCAAACTTACTACATAAATTATGGCGGCAATTATAAAAACAAAAGATGTTGATGGTAACTCAAAATATAGTGGGAATAAATGTAATTAAATGTAAAACCTACTTTTTTCCCAGGAATAACAAAGTTATAGCGGGTTTTGGTTTTGACAGGTTTTTGTTTTTTTTAAATTATTTTAAAAACAATTTTTAAATCCCTGTAGATCTTCAAATAAAAAAAATACCCATACCCTTGGTGCACCTTGTTTAATTAGGGATGTAAAGGGTGGGCCATCTATAAGTTGAATTTTAAACTACATGCTATTAATGAAGCTTTCAACTTAAGCGCCATGAAT